CTTAAAAAGCAAAAGAAATCCATGTTACATTTGTCTCAAGCTTGTTTACAGGTTGAATAAGCTGACGAACATATCTCATTCAGAGCGAAGGTCCTTCATGTTTTATCTTCCCTTGAAACATTTCAGATGAAAAACACTCCTAGACCACTGGATGAACAGCGGCATCTAGTGGTCATTACATCACCAAATCTCTTGTAAGCCTGTTCTGTCCATGAAACAAGTGAATTGCTAGGAAGCTTCATCTTTATTATTGATGAAGGTATATCTCCAATAAACTCTTATAAGAAAGTTATAAATACTTCCTTGTATAGTTCCTCTAATTAAGTAATAATATGTACTGAAATAAGAAACTAATGAGCTTTCAATCTTTATTCTTAATCAACAACCCTTTCATAAGTAAACAACCTTTGAAGACTTTTATAAGCCAATTTTTATGTCTTTATATCTCAATTCTTGTTCTTAAGAGTGACATGAAGGATTCTGAAACACTTATGATTATGAACTAGTCAATAATCAATTTAATGGCTCTTTCATGAACATGTGGATTGGAATGCTCCGAGAACAGATTCAGGCACTCCATGTGATGACGCATTGATTTGCAAAATTGAAACATTATAAAAGCTGAACCTATATTTATTACAATTAGACTGAGTTTGATCTCGAGGTTTTAATTTTTCATAAACAGGGTGTATCCAGTTTATCAGGGTTTTCTATAACTAGATCATAAGATGGAATGTAGACTCAAAATGGAATGACAGGATCTTCTTACCATCAAAAATTCATGTTTCCTAGGTCTGATGGCTTTCTATTAATGAAAGCATCAGTACATTCTTTGGTTCTTTTCACAGTCTTCTGAGTCAGTCCACGTAAGTTTTCATTACCCCCTAGACCCTGAGCTTATCACCTGTGTATAATCTGCCCACCAGGTACCTGGCACCGCTCTGGAGGCCTTGACAACCAGCTCAGGAGAAACTGCTTGCCTGTCATCATGGAAGACTTCTTCTTGAGCATATCACATGCTACAGCTCTGTGGTTGTTCACTGAGCTATTGGGACTGTGTCCTTCAGATGAATCCAGGCATCCCCAAAATACCTAGATGTACATGAAACAGCTGGACCTCATTACCTACTTCATCTCCTCTAAATTAACTGCCAAAGTCTAGATCTTTCTCTCTACTTTCTTAAGGCCTTGTTGATGATCATAAATACATAGATGCAAGTCATGGAAAACAACTTGTGTTAATGTGCTAGCCACCCAAAGTGAAGAATGAGGATATTTGATATTCTAAATAATCACTATGTAGTCACATCCCATGTTATAACCTGGGACACTCATCTACATGACTTACATGAATAGAGAGGGCTGTAAAGGCCAAGTCCCTTGTGATTAGCCATAGTGACAGATAAGAAAAATATCTCACATGCTGCCCTTTGAATGGGAGACCAGGAAGACGAGTCTTCATATCACTTAAGACATTCATACAAATGCTATGCAGACATGTGGACATCTCATGGTCAAGTATATAGTCACTTGATTTAATTAAATCAATAAGTATGGTCCACAAGTATTAAAGGTCAAGTGAGGTGAGACGTAGGTAAAGCCTGGGACTCTCTCCAGCTCTCTACTCGCCAGTAACTTCCCAACCCCGTCTTCCTCTCAGTTCACAATTACAGGAGTGAATGCATGAGCTATGGACATGAGTCGTTAAACATGGTGTTTAGCAAAGATGCAGGCAACCATGAGTGACACTAAAGACAACTGCAGTTACCATCGACTTCTTTACTCTACATAAGCTTTATCCTCCTATTCTTCCTTTCTGCTTTTCTTTTTGTCTTCCATATTTCTGCCTGAAGCTAGCAGTGGTAAAATAAAGCAGTGTGAGGTCCTGCTGCTATCTGAACTCTGTGTTAGGTAACAAAAATGACTTCTGAGTTCTATGGAAAGATACTGTGCTTTACAAATCCAGATATTCTCAAATGGAGAGCTACAGGTGGTCATGATTATTATTACTGTCTGTTCATAAAATAACCTGCCAGATAATAATTTAGACCTTGAACTGGCAGATTGGGTCTATTCTCTGTCAGTATTTATATATCTTGACCTTGCACATGTTTTAAGAATATATTAGTTCAAGTTTACAAATAAGTCATTTCACTTATCAGCCTACAAAAACATTTTCATAACTACCTCTCCCCATATAAGCTATCCAAAGAGTAATGTGAATTATGCTTTAACTAGTTGTCCAGGATAATTCTTCCCTGGGTCCAGAACAGCAGACAAGGATCTAGATGAATGGCTGGGTATGTGGCCACCGCCAGATCCAAACACACCTAGAAATAATTTGGTCTG